AATAGAACCAGGTCACTTGATGAAGAAGTCAACTGGATGAATTGACTCGTACTAAGCCTAGACTCGAGGAAGACACTTGGTGTCAGTTCACAACTACTTAACGTGAAGGCGATTTCTGGACTGACGAATTCGGCAAGGGACCTTTTTTCAAGCTCCTTGCAAGGGGATAATATGGTAATACCACACACTTTAATTACATTCGGGGTCAATTTTTGTTGTTGATTTATTTAGCCCCTGTACTAGGCAGGTGAGTGACACTAAAGGAGGGTGACGAAGTACTGATTAGCATATTTGGTTTCTGTCCACGTGTAAGACTATTGGATCGATTTTACTTGAATTTTACAAAAGAGAAGTATTTAAATATTTTGACTTCGAAAATAGTATATTAAGCAACAAGGGGATAAAGGCATCCCAATTTGGTTACGATGATTTTTGTAACACGAGTAGAGGTCGAGGGTGCGGCGCCCTCCACTCGTGCGACAAAAATCATCATAAACAAATTGGTCTGACTTTGTTTCCATATTACTTACGATATTTTTTATTCCTAATGCACAAAACTGGCGATTTCAGATAGCAGACGATAGAGAGTAAATGTTCCCTTGTGTTATGTCTCAGAAGGAAACTAATCATGCCCTAAATTATATATATAAATTGTCCGGCATTGGTGATTCATACCTGATTTATTCACAGAGCGGAAGGTTCTGATCTTAAGGAACGGGTTTTAAGAAAGAGGAACTGTTAAAATTAATATTAATAAAGTTTTTATTTGTATCCTTTACAATTAGAATCAGAGAGAAAGAGTAGATCCAGATGTCTTCAGGGACACTGAAACAAAATTAGAACTTTGTGGAATCAATGGAGAATTTAAATGGGGACAAAATTTAAAGTATTAGTTATTTACCATTCAAAATTATTCTTAGAGTCGTAGGCCCAACAAGCTTTAGTGTGAGGTCGAGGAAATGACTTTGTCTAGCGGAAACAGAGAATGCAGTAGATTTCCCTTAAATTGTTTTCGGACCAGCCTAAATGAAAGGTTCGGAGTTTAGGTGTCTATGCAAATTAGATTGAACACCCCTCAGCCTCGGAGTAATCGAATTATTTATTTGATGTTGATGTCGTGGTAATGCAGTCCTTAGAAAAATAGAAATGTGCCTCGTAGTAGAAATTATCTCCTTGAATGAATTTGACTAAAACGATACTCGAAGAAGACACTTGGTACTTGAAGAGATTTTCTGGACTGGAGTCGAAGAACAAACTTGATGACAGTACACAACTAGTTAACTTGGTGGCGATTGCTGGACTGATCCGAAGAACACAGGTATCTGATTTGACGGTGATTTCAGGACTAAATAGCTTGAAGAGATTTTCTAGACTAACTCGAAGAAGAAAGGTAGTTGATTCGGTGGTGACTTCTGAACTGGCGAATTTGGCGAGGGTGGCACAATTCCTTACAATGGAATAAAATGTTAATGACACACACTCCAATTACTTTTTGCGTCAGTTTTTTTCTGTTGATTCAATTTCGGCGCATGTGCTGAATCCCTGTATTAAGCAGGTGAGTGACCCTATAGGAGGGTGACAAAACGTTGATGACCATATTTGGTATCTCTTCAAAGAGATACCAGGTGTAAGACTATTGGATCAATGTTGCTTCGGTTACAAGAAAAAGAGGATTCAGATTTTAATTTTGCAAAAAAGTTTTATAAATGTAAACTATAAATACGTAGTGATGATGTGACACTTATTAGCCCAAAGCAACACAATTCTATTTGAATTGTTTTTGTAAAAGAAGTGCATTGTTTTACATTGATGTTTGAGTTAATACTTTATGAACGGTAGACGTCCAATTATGTTTTTGGTTTTCTGTATAAATTATCTCTTATATTTAAATAATAATTTTAATAGGTTTAACCAATAATATTGATAATGCGTGAAGGAAATTAACGCCTGTATAACTTGTTGAGTCTCATCCAATGTATAGCATTACTGTCCGTAGCCTATAATCACTCTCATTAACAGTCCAGTCAGCGCAGCGTTCTAAATATTAGTATAGACACGGTTTAACTCGAGCAATAAAATTCGGCTCCATACGAGATTATTATCCATTTGGAAATAATTTTATTTTTAAATTTACTATACTCTTAAAAGTTGTCCGCTGTCAAATATAATATTATTCAATTTACTATAATACTTAATTTACTAAAAAATAAAAAAAATCTTTTAGATAAAATAGCTACATTTCGAATAATTTTTTCTTTGAAACACTGAGAGCTTTTATACTATCGAATAACGTGCGCCCAAAGACTTCGTGCTCTCTGCATGCTTCTGCCATCTAATGGTGACTGGACGTAAATGAAGCTCCTCTTAACTGCTTCTCATTGCATTGCTTTCCACAATTTCTTATTTTTAATCGTATTTCTTCATGAATACATACAATTTTTTTATATTTGCAAACTTTAAAAGACGTGAATTTTTAGAAAAAAAATGATTACGCACCAAAAATAATTTTTAAAGTATAGAAACACCTGTTAACTTTTTCTTTCAATAGCCATTCAGTAAGAGTTAAGTATGAAAAATTGAATATAAACAAAATTATATGCCTTGAGAATAAAATTCAATTGTACCTATTCCATATGATGAAAAATGAAATGATTGTTATGTCAGAATTAAAAATTTATTGATGATAGTTGAAGTAAACTAAACGCATTTTCATTCATTCGACAAAGGTTGCGACTCTTCGAAAGATTCAATCGTGATGCTCGTTAACGTGAAAGTCAGATTACATCTAAGAAGATTTCTGATGCAATTCTTCGTCTTGCATATATGTGCTATAGGGAAGTTCGATAATTAAGTTTCTCAAAAACTCTTCATTGTTTGCCAACCTCAATCATGCTTATGCAATAACAAACTAAGAATCCAATTGTCTCTTAAGTTATGTATTTGATTATAAAGAAGATATTTCCTACATCTTTTTGCTCCTACATCAAAAAAAAAAATTTTTTACACTTCATTCAAGTAAAGTAAGCGGAAATAGTTGGAAAAAATTGCGATTATTTCCGATCCCTTTATATACAGACTGGCATCTCGTCAATGTTCTTAATCATTATTATTCTTCGCGACTCGAATTTCTCATAAAATGCGTATTCTTCTTTGAACAAATTTTTTTCACAATTTTCACACGAGAATTTTTTTTAATTATAGACAATTATACAAAAGAATGGTATTGAATATTTTACTTTGAAATTGAAATTATATTATTTAAATAAAAACAGAGGTATAGTGTTACCGTATTTTCTAACTTTTAAATAAAGCAAAAAGTTTACCTACCTTTATATTCAAATTAGATATAAATTTTTGAGTAATAATTCACGTATCAGATTTAATTATTATTAATCCATCAAGAAGATACAAATTCTATTATAGTGTTTTACTTAATTACTTACTTTTTTTCAAGATAATTGAATTTTTATAATTGAAAAAAATTTTTTTTAATTTTTCGAAAATATTTAAGGCAAGTTAGTCAATGTAATTATAATTTTATTTTTTTAAACATTTCTTCGCAATATATTTAATTATTTTTATAAATAGTAAAACTTATTGCAGAATTTCAATTACTTTAATACAATTTTAATCGAATTCCTCGAAAAATGTAATGTACAAATTTTCAAATTTCACTTCCTGTCAAGAAATTATTATAATAATTATAAATATTTGTTTAAAAAATATTTAAGTTTGAAAAACATAGGTTAAAATTCGAACAAAATTTGGTTTCTGAGAAAATTAAAGTATATTTTTAAAAGGAACATAAATTAAAAAAAAATTTAATGTATTATGAAATGAATTTAAATGTTGTGAAATCGAAATAAGGTAAATTATTTAATATAATGTATATTAAGACCTTTATTTTAATATTGAACTTTCTGAATATTTTATTGAAAATTTTGAAAAAGTATGTTTTTAGAATATGTATTTAAATTTATTTAAAAAATTTAATTAAAAGATTATAAAGATTTTTATAAATAACTAATATTGGAATTTATTGAAATTTCCTTTAAATTCAATTACAAATAATTTAATTTTTCAAGAATTTTATCGACATTTTTATGAAAATAATGCGAAAAGTTATTAAAAATAGTAAGGTATATTAAATAATTAATTGAGTAATTAAATTAAATTAAATAATTAAATTCTTGCGAACAATTTTATTTGAATTTTTTAAAATAATTGAATTATAATAATTTTGTTATTTATCGAAATAATTGAATTTTTCAAAGAATTATTTGCGTAAATAATTGAATTCTTTAGAAGAATTTTATTAAAATCTAAAAGAATAATTGAATTATTTCAAAAAAATTTAATTGAAATTGTATTAAAAATAATTGATTTCTTTCGAAAAATTTTATTAAAATATTTGAAAATAAGTGAATTCCATCAAAGAATAGTAGATATTGAAAATAATTGAATTTCGAATATTTTTTAAAAATAATTGAATCCTTTTAAAGAATTTGATTATAAGTTTTGAGAATAGTTTTTTGATTCCTTGTATTAGCGAATTTTGAAGAAGTGGAAATTTAAAAAAAAATATAAATAGTAGCTTTTAGTGATTGAAATGTAAAAAAAGTACCAAAATAGTAGCATAACGGAAAAAGTAGTAAATATTAGATTTTAGTAGTTGCGTGCGAAGCCTGACTATATCAAAAAGCACGGACCGTGAGAAAGGCCTTTCTCTCAGTCAGCGATTGGACGGAGATAAAGGGGAAGGGGTAAATTTATCCTTTCCCTCTTTTCATCGTCCAATCGCTTCACAGGGACTTTCTCACGGTCCGTGCGTTTGATATAGTCCAACCTTAAACTTATGCCTTTAAAGTAAAACACAATTTTGATGAAAAAATAAATAAAAAGAAAAAAAAAAAAAAATTTTAACCATTATGGAGTAAAGACTTTTTTTTATTTGTAAAGAACTATTATAATGAGGTTTTTGGGTATAAATAAAAAATCCATTTATAAAAAACATTTACATATTTATATATATATATAAAATATAATACAATTTGTTACAGTGTAGATGATAGTGTAACGTCTTAGGTGTAAACGTTAGGTGTAAATTAGATCAGTATAAATCTAAGACAAGTTTTTTTTCATCTTCTTTTTTTCTGGAAGGACAGGGCGTTTGGTACATGAATACATAAACGATAGAGCTACAAAGAATCTATTCACTTGATTTAGGTATGTGGACGTACCTTTAGGACTATCGGATGTGTATACATAAAACTATGACTATGTACAGAACTCTTGCTATATACACGCATTCTTCCTTTTCTCTGTTCTCTTTTTTTTCTCCCTCATTCATTCATACGTACACAAATACACTCTCATTTTCTTTTTCACATTCAAAAACATTTATATATGCATCGCGATCCAACTCTCACCGACATTTCACATTAACAGCGGCAATGCGGCAACATTCACTTGCTCTCCCTAAAAACTTCTACATACAATATATACCCTGACGGTTTTCCTGGTCTCGTTGCACTTCTCCCCAAAAACGAGTATCTTTCTCTCTCTCTATATATATATATATATTTTACTCAATGAGCTTCTGCCAAGCAATAACTTTTCTCTTAAACACCATAAGTCATCGTGATTTTTTTAAACACTGCAAAACTATTTTGGCAAAGTGAATACAAAAACAGTGTTAAAATCCTTGATATGTGGCAGAGAATTTGAAATCTATTTTTGAGAAATGCTTTCTTTTTTGATCTTTTGTACTTTTTTTTAGTGACTATGCAAATCAAGTCAAGTGAAATGCCATTTGTTTTTGTAGATAAAAATGCAACTATATTTTTTGAAAAATATAAAAATTGTCTGTGACTAGGATTATTGATTTGTGCGACGAGAACAGGAAATCCGTGTATAAAGAATAAACTAACATTCACGTGATTCAAAAATTGTTGAATACAATAAATGCATATATCTTTTTTCTATCTACAAAGTAATCTCAATTATTTAAGTGACATGTAATCGTGACACTTTTTTTTTTTTTTTTGTTGATTGTTCTGTTCTTATCACCGGTTAGTTTGCCTAGTGCCCAACTTTGTCGCTTTTACCTGGCGACTTTTACATTTTGATAGGATAAATCGTATCTGTATCACCATCGAATTACTTTAGCAAAAACGGAAGTTTCAGTGACCGGTTTGTCGCTGCCTCGGGCTCTAATTTGTGAACATGGAAAGTCGAAACTAGTTTCGACCCTTGGATAAATCACTTTTTGTGTGTAACAAATTTAATGAAATTGATATTTAAAACAAGATTTAAATGCAGTTTGTGGCTTTCGGTAATTTGATGACAATTTGGAGAATTTCATATTCATTGCTTAATAAACTTTTTTGGAAAATTATAAAAGCGCCAATATGGTATGTTTTTTTCGCAAAGCAAACTTGTTCGATTATCGAGACGTTGCGTTCAATTTTAGCTTTTGGTTTGCATTAAGTTTGCCCTACCTTACTACACACACAGATGTTCTATGACATTTATGAATAATGATCGTATTAAATTGTAAAATATTACTACACGACATATTAATATCGATTAGTCGGCTAGGTGAAACACTATGCTCTAGAAGGGAACCTTTTATCGTCTCTCGAATATTCAACTCCACTTTCTCATGGACTCAGTCTAACATCAAAAAATGTAATTTGTCTCGAAAGCTCTTTTCGCGTTGAAACTCTTCTAAAAGATGAGAAAGATCTTAAATTTTAATCCAATAAAAATTGAATTGTAATTCTTTGACATTATTAGAGAAATGAAATGAAATTGAATTTAATTTATTTAATTTTATTGATCCCGACAGGCTTTGAGAGACAGAAGTAAATCAAACGTTTTTGCAAATATAATAATTTAAAGACACTCAGTCTCTGTGCACGAAGCAATAAGAATCAACAATTTAAAAATAATCTCTCGTTTAAATAATAAAATAATAAATAATTACTCTCCCCGTTTGAAACAACGAAGAGATGTTTTTGCTATGTATAAAAAACTGTACAGAATAATACAAGCAAGTCATAACGAGCGATGATCGAAATACTCGGGGTACGACTTATAAATTAAATCAGTACTTCGTCGACTAGTCAACGTGAGGTTCACGAGGAAGCTTTTGCCTCTCCCCGGTAAATACAATCACACTCATATTATAACTTTCACAAAAGTTTTCTAATACAATTAACAAAATATACAATTTCCGTAGTGTGAGTCGTGCAAATCTCAAAATGGGTCTGAATGGCCCTCTAACTAAAGCCGAAAATAAACCCCAAACATTTTCATTCGCACTAGAAAAAGTAGTTTATAAACATTTTTTTTTTGCACGACTCCCATTCGGCAAATAAACAGCCTATTTGTATCTCCTGAATGTCTCTTCTAAAGAGAATTCAAAAAACTACGCTCCCCTTTCTCTTTTTCAGTACACATAATGTCCCTTCGATATTCCATATCTTCAGTTATGAAAAAGAGAATCAGAAATATTTCGAATACCCGTTAGACACTTTACCATCGACTTGGTAATTCACATAAGCGTCTCCGTTGAAAGCGTCTTCTGTTGTATTATTTTCATTAAAAAAAACTCTCTTCTCTTTAAAAACACATTGTCCTTCACCTGAAGGCAAAAACAATTGCGGCCACTAATAACGCGATGGACACTGATTTTGCTCCGGAACTTCCGGCCATTGGACCTTCACTGCTTCGCGACACTTTATTACGAACTAATTGTCCACGTTCAACTGCATTTGACTCGTCACTATCGGAATCAATTGGCGTTCCGAGATCACCATCTTCACTTAGAATCATTGAAAATCTATTTCTTAGGGGTTTCTTCGAGCAGGGCAGTGTACTTTCTTGATAGGACTTCAAAATCCGTGGATAATGAGACTCGACCTTCATTCCGGGTAAGGCGACCCCTTTACTGTTGGAACAAAGAGGCTTGAACGTTCCCCTTCGAGTGGCATCTTGGAAACTCTGGAAGCTCTCCTGCCAATCATAGCTCAATAAGCGTTCCTCCAGTGTCATCCCGGTCAACTCAGGTGGCTCTTGAATCTTGACTGGGCCCGAACCTCTGTAACAGGAAGAGAAATCGATGGTTAAACGGGTGAAGAAAGAATTCAAATTCAGGGCATTTTAGTCAAGGGAACTAAAATTTATCATTTGGTAATTTATAATTATATAATTTAATTCCTACGCTATAAATTAATTTCATGGTTTTGTAGCACCAAACAAATTTTTTTAATTAACAAATCAAGTCAATTCCGTATTTTGAATTTCACATTGAGGACCCCTAATTACGTATTGCTTGAAACTCATTAACTCCAAGTTATCGCATCTGTCATCCAGGGATTGTTGGGGTCACTGTTTTCGAATCCAACATCAGATTCGATATCAGTAACCTCGAAAAACCCCATGTAAGGAATTTCAAGCGAATTCGACCACAAAAACCCCCCGAAGTATTAAAGAATTACCCAGAAGCAATAATCGATTTTATCCAACGAATCGTCCCAAGTGAATTAAATATAAACGAAAATTAATTAAGAGAAAATATTTAATACTTTATATATAACTAGTGAATATCCAGTATATATTCAGGAATAAAATAAATAAAAACTAAATAAAAATTATAATTAATAATAAATAAAACTTTTTCCATCATAAATCTACGATGAATAGAGATTGGACTTTAATAAAATATATTGCTAGTTGAATAACTTTGATGTAATAAACTTTTTCTGCAGTACGAGATATATATGATTCGAAAATGGTATTCAAAATGATAAATTGTAAGAAAATGGGTTTCCTCGTGAAATTCTCAATTAAAAAGAAGAGTAATGAGAATAATTCTTTGGCACTGAGATAGAGTTCTCTCTATCTGGTCCATGTAGGCAGTGAAATGTGCACATTGTGCGACGAGTTATAAGTTATAAATCTTCACCCGACCCACTCTTGCAGCACTTAGTGACAAATGGTACTAACAGCCAATTGAAAATAATGGAGACTCACTGAGTTTAGATAATTTGTCCTTCCAAATAGTATAACAGCTCTTGACATTTCGCAGTGGTGGTTAAATAGTTCAACACTGTTATTCTCTGTACCTTAAATTCTTTAACTTCGTTTGCATATAGTTCCACATCAAGTGGATCATTGCTCCGTACACAATTCTACGGAGCCGAATAGTTAAGCTCTTAAATTTTTTTCTTTCTTTATTTATTAATTTATTTGCTTACTAATTCTAGTCCCATGAATTATAAATTTAGAAGAATTGAAAAACATTAAAAATATACTCACTCTATGAGTTTTTGAATTCCGAGACTGTGAAGAACGGTGGGTAGTGATGGTAGTGAATAGCAGAGGGACAAGTCGATGCGTGGATAGTAGAGGGCAGAGACTAGACAAGTCTCCTCTCTTGTTGTCAATCCACCCAAAGTTATAACGCCTCTCGATTCGGACGAATACGTACATTCTGCTATCAAATGGTCGCCCTGTAATCAAAAGCAAAAAAAAAATTCTTCAGGTTAAAAAAAGCGAGTTGGGATTTGATTAGAAGGAGGAGATAATAACGTGTATCTGATAGGTCACGCAACGTCCAAGTATACTGGTCAAGTTCAGGGAATGTTCTGAGTTTCTTTCAACGTGCTTGATAAGGAAATGCACAACATACAAGAACCCTAATGTTCCAAGAAGAGAAGAAGCTAAATGTTTTAATTCTTTAAATTTAAATCTAAAGTCAAATAAAATCATGGTAAAAAAATCCCTCTTTAGGAGATGGTAAACATTCTTGAAAGTATTTTTATTTTACTGCAACATTTTTTTTATGCTTTTCATCATCATTTATGTATTTCATCATAAACCCAGTGAACTCCAAAAAACTTTTCCATAACTGTTCCTTTGTCATCCTAAACTTGTAGCATCCCTTGTAGCATCCCTTGTAGGGGATGTTACAAGTTTAGGATGACTGATAAGGATGACAGATAAGGAACAAATCTGTAACAGTTATGGAACAGTTTTGGAATAGTTATGGAACAGTTTTCTGGAGTTCACTGGGAATGCTTTCATAAATAAAACTACTGATGGTATTAAATTTAGAGATTAAGAATAACAGGAAAGAGTGAGAATTAAGAGGATCAAAACTTACCGGATAGACTTTGGCGGGGCGTTGTAGTCTTCGGTACTCCTGGTACTTGGGATCGTAGTTGCCATCAGCGGCGATTGGTGTCATTTCCTCGCCGCCTCGGATCTGCCTCAGCCTGACCTTTTTGCCGAGCTCGTGTGTGTGCATGATGACGGCAAACATATTGATTCCATTATTAGGTATGGTTTGTCCCGTGCATTCAGTGATGCAATGGCCCTCGGAAATGACTTCCGATTGCCCGGGTGGTATGATGTGGCGCCAATTAGGATCGATACCTATGCTGAGAACGCCGGCATCGTGTGTTCTCAGTTTCTCCGTGTGGAGAAAACGCAATCCAGAATTGTCGTTAATGAAGGCGTCCCGCCTTGGATTGACATAGAGAGTCTCGAGCATGTAGTATCGTGGTCCAGTATGCGGGTCCAGCGCGTATCCGGCCTCAGGTGGGTAATTAAAGCCCTGCGCAAAGTTAAGAGAGACGTATATAGGAGCAGCGAACGAGAGAGCAAAAACAGAGCGTGCGGTACAGATAGAAAACTTTATGTTTGTGTATGTATGAAATCGTGAGAGAACGCGTGTGGAATTGCACCTTCACAGGGAGCTCACGTTTCCACCGACCACAGGGAACGAGTTTGTGGTCGTTTTGCCATTGGTATGCATTACCTTGCTCGCGGGATTATCGCAAACGGCGGCGTTAGTGCCGTCTTTTAGGTTAAAAGAGAGAGAACTCATCGTATAGTCACCGAGTGGAGAAGCAAATGGGAATAAGACTTCCTGACGTGCGATATCTGTGGATACTAATGGCACAGGTGAGTATAGCTGACGCGATGGAATGAGAGTAATTCGCGTCGCAACTTAAATTCTAGACTCAAGATTGCCCACGCAAATAGCCCCTGTGAATCCTTTCCTGTACCATCACGTTATAAATTACCTTCTTCTTCTTCTTCTTCCATCTGCTTTTGCAACAAGTAATCTACATTCCTCTAATAAATTAAGAAGCAGAGGATTTCCCTAACATTTGCTTCTCCCTCTGACATGTTCCTTTAAACATTGAGATATCTTTCTATATTTAGAGTCCACAAATAGGCAAATTGGAAATAGGGGAATTATTCCCGTGGATGATAAAGTATTTACCTCGGAACCGAGACTCCAAGTAGCTGCTATGGTGCTGCACTTGGGCATAGGTTGATCAGGTTGGTAGCAGACTCCCCCGGTGGTCCTTGCAGCACCCTCCAATTCTGTCTGATTGCCTCGACACTCGTACAAAGTCATGTGGTGCAGGTACTCCTTGTTACCAGGCTGAATGACCGGCTCGTACTGTAAATTAAAAACAAAGTTTTAATAAAGTCTAATTAACTTTTCTTATTTGGGAAATAAATTAATCTGTTCGAGTCATTCCTCAATTTCTAATTCTCCAGAAGGTACAGAATGACATTCGAGGGAAGGCAACGTGGTGGGTTAAAGGAACATGTAGTAGTTTCTACATCGGGAAGTTGAATCACGTACGATCATATTCCAGATCCACGTACTAGTTGCCACTAGTCTATATCGGCAACTTTATAGAACCGGAAATTCAACGCGCTTCGCACCTCTGGTGCGGAAGGTTTAATTCTCTAGCTTCACTTTAATCTTAATTACTCCACGTAGAAGAGTTTAACTTTTGACAATAATCACACGTCGAATACTAAACTCCGAAAGCTTCAATTTATCAAAAATTATTTTCCTTCGATTAAGAAATAAACAAAACACAGGATAATCTATTATGAATAATTGTTGGTTCTTTTATTTTAGATGTTCCAGAAAATATTAAAGTTCAAAGTACCCGAGCTGAACGCGAGAAAACAAAGCAATTCACGACTTTAATTTTACGCCCATACTGAATTATCAAAAAAAAAATAGGAGTGTTGACAACAAACGAAGAAAACTGGAAAGTTTGATACTCAAACTGGACAAATGCAATCAGAAAGTACATCTCGAATCAAAAGCTGTAAATTGCTTCCGTTCATTGACTGTTTCATGTATGATTTAGCCAAGTTTCCGGTCCAGTTTTCCCGAGAACTGACGGCACAAGTTTTCCTACTATAATTTCAGCGAGAGAGGCATTTACTAACGAATTGGGTCGAGGACGCATTTAACTGATAGAAGTTGTTCATCAAGGAAGACTTACTCTCACAACGTGATGTTTATGGTGTATGTTCGGCATCTTGAGAACTCGACACCAAAGCAGCGTATCTTGCTCCGTTGGTAAGCCAACCTGCAAAAAAAGAGAGAAATTTAAATCAACTCTTACATTTTGAACGACTGAGTCCGTATAGCTGAAAGAAGTAAAAAAATCCACTTGACATTTTGTTTCTTCAAGAAGTACTCGAAATGTATCAGAAAAAAAATTCTTTAAATAGTTTTTTTAATTACAATTTCTATCGAATCTATTATCAAAGTCAATTATGGCGTCATCTCATTAGCATTAATTGCGAAATAAATATAAATAGCATCATTAAAAAGATCAGGCGTCTCGACTTGATGCATAAACATGATGCGTTATTTAAAGCCGCAGAGAGGACGGATGGACTTTTGCTCGTCAAGTTTTTCAGTGGTTGCCGCAGACGAGAAGCAACGCAGAACGCGAGAAAAACGAATATCGAGGCGCCGATTCAATTATCGTCCTCCTGCCTTGTGCAGAACCAACATTGAAAAGAAGCAAAAAAAAAAATAAAATAAAATAACTGAGAGAATTTACTTTGACTTCCGAAAAATTGCAGAAACATTTAACCGGACATGGTTGCGAATAATATTCAACAAACTAGAATAAATTTACATTCGAGACAAATAAATTCCACGTGGCGAATTTAATTAAAATTTTATTAAATTTGTATCAACTTTTATGGAAGAGTGTATAAAAAGTAGAGAAAGTGAACAAAAAAAAGGAAGAGGAAAAAAAGAATCCGATCCAAGTGAAGGACGTCTAAGAATAAAAAAAAGCCCAAGATTTTTCTTTCCTGTCCCAGATTTCTTTTTTAGTTTCTTTTCGTTGAACTAAGTAGCTCGCGGGCTTTGCAATTTTCCCACGTATTTCTGCAAAATTAACGATTTCGAGATTACCCAGCCGGGCCATTTCCCATTTCATACAGATGCGCCCGAGGTTATGACTCTGTCTGACCAAGCACAACGTCAATCGATCCAAAAGAATAAATAGATAGTTAAATACTCATTTGATTGTTATTTTATTATTTTCCGCTCTTTCCCCCACGTCGCATAGTTCCCATGATTTCGCGAATATAAAGAATCCTTCAATTCGCGAGGGAACAACTTTAATGTTTTCCTTAATTACTTTTGGGAAATTTGATCCTCAATCAGGATTGTCACTTAAGCAAAGACTAAGTTTACCCCTAGATCTAATAAGATAACAGTTTGATTTTCGGAAATCTTTGGTTAGAGGCGCGTCTTATTTCTATTCGCTCCGTGTAAAGCTAATTAGAAGTAAGTTTAAGCCAAGCATCGGGGAAACGGCTGCACTGCCATGGCCTAATTCAACCCTTGAATATATATATAAAACGGACTTGAACAGCGGAATTAGCATTGTCCGATTTCACGATAGCTCCCCTATAATCTATGACCTAGCGACGCTAATGAACGAATAGTTTTTGCCGGATGTGACCCCGAGTGGATTTATATCGTCATAAATTCGGAGCACAATGCAGAGAGTTTCTTCCGATAAAAATCCACTACCCACTCGGGTGCAAATGCGTTCGAACATTTGTCTCACGTGCAAAGGTGCAATCGGCTGTTTTCGTCGCACGCGTCTTTTACACGTTAACAAAAGCACCAAACACAGCAGGAGTGACAAAAAAAAAATTTTCTAAAGAATGTTTTTTTGAAGAATTGAACAACTTTATTGAAGTAAAAAATTTTCTTTTACAATTCTTTTTTTGAATTTAATTTCCTCCTATAAATTTTGACCATTTTTCTTTATGAGTTTCGTTCAATTGGAAGAATTGGAAATTCAATTCAATCCGGGATTCTCTCGGTCGAGTTCGACAGGTACACAGATCAGTTTTTTCTAAAGTTTCTAAATTGTTGACATTTATAACGTCAGGAATACATTTTATAATTTTTGATCTCTCATTTCGATAAGATGTATTCTTTAGCATTATATTTAAAATTATTTCAATGAGATGAATTTAATTGTTTCACATGTACAAGAAGTATAGATAAAAACTCACAAAGAAGAGGTAGATTGAAACTCATAAACAAGAAGAAGATATAGAACCATTCTTTTAAAATTCTGATGATAAAATCTATGATTCCCATATACACATGAGACTCTGATTTCTCTTTGATGAAATCAATGTTTATTTTTCAGTTACACACGTTCCCATTCATACTCATCACAATAGAATTATGCTGCTCTTTCTTTACGTAATAGATTAACTGCATATCCGCGCGTGTGACACCAATAGAAGTGCAATATTATAACAAGGTACTGATAGCGTGCTAATTGGCAAAACTCCTATGCTCCAATTAAAAAAAAATCTAATTAAGTTTTATTTAAAGTTAAACTTCATGAATTTCTCAACAATAATAATGAATTAGTTTCTTCTTCTTTATATTTAATGTTAAACATCAAAATTCGCAACACTTGTCTCTTCAAACCACTTATACGGTCATAAACGTCTTTATTACTCTGGGAAATTGCCAAGCTGCGGCTAATCAAGAAATTTAACAACAAAAAAAGCGACTGTAGGTTTTCTTTATTTTTGAGATGTTAGTAAAACATTTTTCCTGAAGTACCAAGTGGATTTTTTTACAAATGGCTATAAAAATACGTAGATAGGGTCAACTTTGAATGGACTTTGAAAAAATTTTGATGGTCACTCACCTGATGATTCAAGACATCCCACACCTGAAGTGCTGGATCATTCTCGTAGTTCCGAGAAGTGCGTTTAGGTTGAGCGTCCCTCTGTACCAAGTAAAGAGGTCGCGACCCTCGAACGGCTCCGTGAGCGGGAAGAACACCAGCTGCGGATACTGGCTCGTCCGCATTGTACTGCCAAACAACTTGCATTGTGTCATTCTGCAATAAAAACGAAAAGATATATTAAAAGACAGAAAATATTAGGCGTATAAAAAAAGAATATTCCACTTTTCAAAGGGTGGACCTAAAATGTTGAATGTTAAAAAAATGACGAAGAAAGAAGAGAAAAGTTAAATGTTAAAAAAAATTATGAAGAAAGAAGAACAAAAAGTTGAATTCTAAATGCTGAATGTTAAATGTTAAAAAAATGATGAATAAAGAAGAAAAAACAGTTCAATGTTAAAAAAATGATAAAGAAAGAAAAATGTTAAATGTTAAATGTCAAAAAAAATGAGGAAGAAAGAAGAAAAAAAAGCTGAAAACTAAATGTTGAATGTTAAATGTTAAAAAAATGATGAAGAAAGAAGAAAAAAAGTTGAATGTTAAAAAAAATTATGAAGAAAGAAGAACAAAAAGTTGAATTCTAAATGCTGAATGTTAAATGTTAAAAAAATGATGAATAAAGAAGAAAAAACAGTTAAATGTTAAAAAGAATGATGAAGAAAGAAGAACAAAAAATTGAAAGCTAAATGTTGAATGTTAAATGTTTGAAAAAATGATGAAGAAAGAAGAAAAAAGTTAAATATTAAAAAATGATGAAGAAAGAAGAACAAAAAGTTGAATTCTAAATGTTGAATGTTAAAAAATATGATTAAGATAGAATAAAAAAGTTGAATTCTAAAAGTTGAATGTGAAAAAAATTATGAAGAAAGAAGAAAAAAAGTCGAATGTTAAGAAAAATGATGAAGAAAGAAAAAAAAAAAGTCGAATGTTAAGAAAAATGATGAAGAAAGAAGAAAAAAAAAGTTGAATGCTAATTTTAAAAAGGAAAGAAAAACAAATTCAATAAAGAAGAAATATATCTTTCAATAAAGAAGAAGTATAGCTTATATAATAAAAACGAAATTTAAATATACACATCTGCGCGCAAATTTGAAACAATTGTAAATTTATATTTTAAAGATGAAATATACCTTCCAATAAAAACACTTGTAAATTGGAGGTAAGAAAAAAATATATATCTTCCAATAAGGAGCAAATGTAAATTTTGCAAGAAAGAAGAAATGAGTAATTGTCTTTCATGTTCTGGGGAAAAAGTTTTAAGATTCCTCCCCCTTTTTTTCTTTTGTACCAAGAGAAGCTACTCCTCTCGTTTTTTCGAGATGTGGACTCTTTACAAATTACGGTAATAAAGCTACGTTGACTTCATGATTCATCTAAGATTAAGTTTAATTTCCTTCGTCTTAGTCTTTGAGCAACTTGAAAGAGTTAAATAGCAAGAGAAAGAAAGAATGAAAGTCGTTAAGAAAAACCACACTAACACTTGGCAAAAAAAAATAGATAGAAAAGAAAATTAAATTTTTTTTCCCACTACTAAAAAACCCGTCGATATCTTCTCTCACAATTAAATTCTTAATCACCTGTTTTAAAATAATTCTAAATTTTCAAACTTGTCTTATATAATTTTAGCTTTGACTCAGGAAGTAAAAGTTATTTTTATAAAAAAATAAATGGAATCGACGAATGTGGAGCATGTATAAGAGAAGTTGAGATGAGCGAAAGGGAATGAAAATTAATCAATCGGTGAATAATTAAATTCTTCGAAATCATTTATGAAATGAACCTTATCGGTTATTTCCTTCTCTGTTCTTCCTCAAGGATATGCTATCCATTTGACGTTCAATCGAATTACATGCGCTAGTCAAAGTCTCTCCGAATAATCCGACTTAGTTTCTGAAATCGATATTCGCGTTCATGATTCAAGAAGAACGTGCGTTTGATCTCATTTCGATAAAGTTAGCTTTCTCTGCTTTGGAATTGATCCAACTTTTGAGAAAGATGCATGATTTATTATGACTGTGCATTGGATGAAACTTGATGGATATCACTGTCAAAATTCAGATTCGAATTGGAATAAATGTGGATGCTTTTCAAGTCCCAACAGATGTGTGATTTTTTGCCTTCACAAAGGTAAAAAAGTCAAATATAATTATAAGAGAGCAGTAACAAAAACAAAAGCACAAAAAAATTGATGGTTAACACCAGAGTGGAATTTTATCTATTGAATCGAATATCACATTCAATCTACCCGGACGGCAGGTGAGAGAATTTACGCACTGCCTCTTGTGTGAATGTGACATTCCCGATGAGAGTTAAGATCGGAGAAAATAAAATTGGATTCGGGAGTGGATAAGAAACGATTTCTAACACCTGATTCCTCTCTTGGGAATGTTCATGACATGTCTTTTATACTTAAAAAAAAGTCCATATTAGAAGTGTAAGAAGTGTAAATAAATAAATAAATAAATAAATAAATTAGGTACATTATTATTCGAAATTCGAAACTATTTCTAAAAATTACAACTGTAACTCTAATTCACCAGCCAAAGAGAAAACTAACCAGTGCGTGAATATCAAAAACCTGAAAAGTCGACCAGAGCTTCAAATCCAAAGTCAAGGGTACTGGGTAAGTGAATGAAAATGTCAAAGGTGCTTAACCCCCATTGTAGGATTACTTATACACATGTCATTTTTCCATCAAAGGGAGAAAATAATCTCCCTTTTAGAGAAATAATAATCATATATGTGGCTAATATAATTTTCTTGTAATTTTAAGAGGACGTGACAATATATGTTTGAAAAAAAGGCTTGTTTCAATTAGAGGGTTTTAAAACGAAGTTGATTATAAAAAATAAGATCTCGTGCTCGGTTGGAAGTATATTCCGAACTTTTTATGATCTGGAGTAACATGTTTAATTAATTAGTGTCGAGAATAACAACCCGGAAGAAATTCTAATTACGGTCTACTTTACTCAAGAAAACCCATGAGTGGAGGATGGACTGTTTCAATGGGGACCGGGTTACAGATGGCTGCTCTCACGAACAGACCTCGTATCGTATTCCGACCAAAGTGTAGGTACATTTCCGAGCTTTCGTGAGCTCTTGGAACAACGCATGGAGAAAAGAGACTTACAAGATTTACTGTTGAATCGAGTGGTCGTTTGAGAAAAGGAGAGAAAAAGAGAGAGAGAGAGAGAGAGAGAGAGAGAGAGAGAGAGAGAGAGAGAGAGAGAGAGAGAGAGAGAGAGAGAGAGAGAGAGAGAGAGAGAGAGAGAGAGAGAGAGAGAGAGAGTAGCAAAAAAGAAACTTGGGGAAAATACAAGAAAGTGTAAAATAGAAAATCAATTTAGATTTCTTGATTAAATAAATTTCAACAGTATTTTCTTCTTTGAAATAAATCCAGCACTTTCTGTATCTTCCAAACTATTAGTTTTCGTATCCTTATTCCGTATTTTTGAATTTAGAATTCAGACAATTCGAATCTTACATTTTTGGTGAAGAGATTTTTGGACCTTTATTTTCGAATAAAGGTTTTATTAATTTTTCCTTAAAGATCATGTTTAGTTTGCAATCATCTCGAGGCAATTAGTGCAGATACAGATCAAAGTTTTCTTACCAAGTTCGCTTTCTTTTTCGGGAGAGAAATCTCCGGGGGAAAAAGGCATCACTGTTAGAAGCTTCTACATGACTTTTTTCACTTGCGTGTGGACTTGTTTCATTACTCATTGCGACGTCGACGATGGTACCGAGACTGCTGTGTACTTTTAACATGTGTTTAACTTAATAACTCACAAAACTATGTGGACAGACTTCTTTTCTGCAAATTAGCATTCCGTGACTTCTACTTATGAATTCTGCAAAAGGCCATTTGTCACTTTGTCAGGAAGTGAAAATATTTCTATTTGGGTATTCTCTAAAAGAGAGAATTTAAATTCTCTCTTTGAAAAAAGAGATTTTTTTTTTTTGAAAATTGAACCTGCGCCACTGGTAGTAAATGCCCAATTGTTCCAAGGATCCAAGGGTCCGGAAAAATATCGGAAGGAAGAAGGTTTCTTACGTGAAACGATTATCGAAAAACGTGAAAAAGTGCGCGTGAGCAGCCTGCTAGTTTGAATCGAATCGTTTGTAACTTTAATTTAATTCCACGTATATAGTCTTCCGAAGATTCCAAATCGTACTTGGCGAGTTTCGAATTCCGTCTAATTTCCCTTTTACTTTTTTTATAATCAATTACAATCTTCTATCTGTGTGCCAAGAGCTTTAGGAATGAAATCAAAGAACTTTTAGTCATTCTCCCGTTCGATATAATTATGAATACCAAACTTTGTACTATTCTAAAAACTACTATTTAGGAATCAAAAGCAAAAACCTAAAATAAACGGACAGTGACATAGCTCAATTAAAAAATTAACGGCAATTTATTTAGTCTTCTGACAGAGGCTACAAAAGATAAAACAATCTCCTTAATCAAATATTGAATGACACCCGTCTAGGCACGTCCTGTAGAAGGCCATTTACATTTTTCCACAACGAGTTTCAAATAGAACATTTAAATAGATGGTTATCGAAAACTGGTCTCAATAAGCTTATATACCACACTGTCGATTGAATCGTCCGATAGAAAAACCAATTTAAATTCAGAGTGATTCGATTTCTAAAACTCGTCTCGGTCAATAACCGCATTAAAGCTTATTTTTGTTTAACAAGTTGCATATTGTTAAAGCTCGTTATACTCTTTAAAAGTTGTTTAAAAAGTTTGAATTGGCTTGTAAACTAGTTCGAGGCCAATTGGCGGACAAGTTTTACAAGGAAAAAAAAGCGAACCGGACGTTAACTAGTAGTAGTCTTAAAAGAAAATTTTCTTCAACTACTCGAACACGCTAAGATTTTCATCATATATATCATAAACAAGATTTTTATACCCAACGAGAGTAAAACAAGTTCGCCGTCCCGGAAAGAATAACAAAAACTTGATCGATCTTTCGAATTCAAGTAACTTGCGCAACGACATGTAACGTATTACTTTGCAGGTTTAATGCCCTCGACAACGTGGTTTTGCGCGGACACGAGAGAGAACATTCACTATACGGAACGAGCACCTGTATAATTAACAGGGTTGAGTGTTCTTTCAAGTCCGCTGAAATGTTATTCTTGGTTCA